ACATGCAACCTGTGCTTCCATCCAGTTGACTGGTACTTAGTCACATGGTCACACTGGGAAGTGTGGTCTTTCCTCGAGGTGGCCAGAGACGAGGTCTCACCATGTTGCCCAGGCTGGAGTGCAGGGGCTGTTCACAGTGCGACCACAGCTCACTGCAGCCTCCAACTCCTGGCCTCAAGTGATCCTCCCCCCGCTGCCTCCCAAGTTGCTGGGACTATAGGCACGCACCCCTGTGCCCAGCCCAAAGCCTGTGAACTTGTGAATCTCAGATATTTCCAGGCCAGACTCCGAGGGATTTTGGTAGAGTGAATTTCACCTCTGCCACTCACTAGCTCTGTGGGCTTGGACGAGTCATGCGTTTCCTGAGCCTCCGTCTCAGCTGGAAAATGGGCATTGAGTATGTCAGTATCAACAGATTGTCGCAGGGCCGAATCAGCACCTGTTTGCAACCCCCTTAACACAGTGCCTGGCACCTGGTTTGAACCAGAACGAGGTTTCTCAACCTCGGCACTGTTGACACCTGAGGTCCGGTGATTCCGGGTTGAGGGGCGCTGTCCTGTGCGCTGGGGGATGTCTAGTAGCATCCCCGGCCTCCACCCACTAGATGCCAGGAGCACCCCCGCAGTCATGACAATCAAAGATGTCTCTAGACATTGCCAAGCGTCCCCTGTGGGACAGCATCAACCCTGGCTGAGAACGTCTGGGCTATATAAATGGCAGCTGCTGACACCACGCTGACATTTATCGAGCACTTTATCCGGATGAATGCATCTGGCCCTCCCTGCTCCCCAAATGAGAGGCGTGCCAATGGTATCACTCCTATTTTACCAACATGGAAACAGAGGCCCAGAGAGGTGAAGTCACTTGCTGGAGGACACACAGCTCCTAAGCGGCAGAGCTGGGGTGGAACCTAGGAGCCCCGACCCTTAGATGGGCAGGGCCTCTCGCCTCCTTGCAGGACGTTCGTGCGGGGCTGTGAAATGAAGCCATCTTTGCGGGACTCTCCCGGTGCAGGGAACTTAAGAGTTGGCTATCCGAGAAGCAGTGTGGCCACCAACCCACTCTGACAGCTGCTCTAGGACAAGAGGACTTCTTGGTTGGGGGGAGGGTCCCAGGATCCTCTCACGATCTGACCTTCCCAAACCGCACCTCCTAGTGTGGCAGCCACTCAGTCTGCGTGGGGCGGAAACAGCAGCAGTGGAGGGTGGCACGGGCGCGCGGGGAAAGTTGTACCCGATGCTACAATATTGAAATCCTTCTCCACTGGCTGGCAAAGGGCGGTTGCTCCGAGTCATCAGAGGGGCCCGACCTCCCACCCCTCCAGAAAATTCTGGGGCACGGGGAGGAATAGGGCGTTCAGATATCCAAATACCTCTGCAGCTGTGGGTAATGCCACCCTGCGGCCTGAGGGCCTCAGGGATGGCGCCCCTGACCTCCCGGTGCCCCCGTCCCCTGACCGCAGGACATGCTGATGGCGCACGACTTCACCAAGTTCCACTCGCTGAAGCCGAAGCTGCTGGAGGCGCTGGACGAGATGCTGACGCACGACATCGCCAAGCTCATGCCGCTGCTGCGGCAGGAGGAGCTGGAGAGCACCGAGGCGGGCGTGCAGGGGGGTGCTTTCGAGGGCACCCACATGGGCCCGTTCGTGGAGCGGGGGCCTGACGAGGCCCTGGAGGACGGCGAGGAGGGCTCGGACGACGAGGCCGAGTGGGTGGTGACCAAGGACAAGTCCAAATACGACGAGATCTTCTACAACCTGGCGCCCGCCGACGGCAAGCTGAGCGGCTCCAAGGCCAAGACCTGGATGGTGGGTACCAAGCTCCCCAACTCGGTGCTGGGGCGCATCTGGAAGCTGAGCGACGTTGACCGTGACGGCATGCTGGATGACGAGGAGTTCGCCCTGGCCAGCCACCTCATCGAGGCCAAGCTCGAGGGCCACGGGCTGCCCACCAACCTGCCCCGTCGCCTGGTGCCACCCTCCAAGCGGCGCCACAAGGGCTCCGCCGAGTGAGGCAACTACCACCCACTGGCCTTCCCTCCCACTGGCCCTGCTGTGGCTCCCCAGCTCCAGTCGGCTGCACGCACGCCCCTGTCCCGGCTCACGCACACCCTGCCTGCCCACCCCACCCAGCTGTAAGGACCGGCGGTCTCCCTGCCCGCTGCTGCCAGACACACCCCAGTTGAAGCGTTTAGTGGGGACCACGGGAGGGACAAGGCTTCACACCTCCACCGTCACATATACTCAGGCACATCACGCCGACACCGACACAGCCATCCATCCATTCATCGCGCATTCCAGTATTTATTGAGTAGCTACTACGTGCCTGGCCCTGTTCTGGGCACTGGAGGCACACACGTCTGCCCTCGCGGAGCTGACGCTGTCAGGAGAGGGCACCGACACAGTCACAGGAACACACGCTGATGCTGGCAGGACCCCTTGCCTCACCTCTCCTGCCCCGCCAGGTGAGGACCCCCCAGCCCATCAGGTCCTCAGGCCTTGGGACCACTGGGGGCTCAGAAGGGAGACACAAACTCCTACTTTTGCGGATGGACCCCTCTTTAGCCCCCACCTCGGGGAAAGCGCCCTACTTCTGGCCACACCCGATTCTCTGCTAAGGATGCTGTAGCAGGCAGAAGGGCCGCTTCCTCCTTCCATCCTCGCTCCTCCACTGTGCCCTCTCGGGGGTGTTTCTGTCCTGCGCCCCCCTGCCCGGACTGAAGTGCCGGCCTGCCCGGGCCCCCACAGCTGGCGGTCCTCTCCACCCACCCACGGTCCTGCCAGGTATAAAGGCTCCAGGGCTTTCTTGTAGCCCCCTTTCCAGGGATGTCGTGGGGGGGCGGTTCTTGGTGCTACAGCCCTCCCCCATCCCGGCCCTCCTCACCTTTTCCTGCCTTCGCCACCCCCGGCAGGCGGCCTCACGGGAAAGGTGGGGAAGAGCAGGAGGGGTGGAGACGACGCCCCCTCCAGGTTGCTCGCTGGGATTCCCACGCCCACCATCGACCCCCACCCCACGCCTGGGAGGGGCCCGTGAACAGAATTGAGTCCCCACAGAGCGAATAAAGCCAAGGCTTCTTCTGTGTCGCAGTCAGGCTGTTTTGGGACAGGGATCAACCACCCCCAACCGCCTCCACCACCAGGGAAGAACCCTGGGCAGGACTTGGGGTGGGGGGAGGTCCCCTCCAAGCCATCAGGGGCGGGGTGGAGTCCGTGACTCAATGCAGCAGAGCCTGGTGACTCAGGCCTGGGCTGGGGGCCAGACCGGCATATTTTCCAAAGAAAAGTTACTCTGGGGCCCTCCCTCCGGGACGTCCCTCCCTGCCTCCTCCCACCGCGGGGGCCTGGGAACCAAGCCCTGGGGCGCGCGCGCCTGTGCGTGTGTGTGTGCGCGTGTGCGTCCGCCCTGCCCCTCAACGTGCGCTCACACAACCTGGGTACGCGGCCGGGACACCTGGGACACGTAACACGGGGACAAACAGGCTCCTAGAGGGGGGAGAGGTGCTACTGCCATGCGCGCGCGCGCTCACGCCCTGGGGACTCGGCCTTCGCCAGGCGGCGCACACACCCAAGGCCACACCCCGGCGCCCCGGGCCACGCTGGCCGCGCGCGCTTCCCGCCCACGCGCGCCCGTTTCGCGGCTCCTGGCGCCCTCTGGCGGACACTGCGACGACAGGCAGGCTGGTCGCCGAAACCCCTGTCCGAGGTGGTGGGCACCCAGGTCCATGGGGCCTGTCATCTTCCAGGATCCTGCTGAGTTCCACTGTGTGGCCACCGTGTGGCGCCTTCCCTCTCTGTGTCTCTTTCTTTTATGAGTCTAGAATGGCCTTTCCGAGGTCCTGGATCCCTTTGGATGGTTGCCAGGGCCCAACGGCCCCTGAGTTTCCTTCCTTATTTGTAAATAGCAAAGATTTGTTGAATCCAAGATGAAGTCTCAGGGGGCGAGGCGGTAACAATAGCTAACGTTCAGATGCCACGCACGGTCTTATCACCTCGTTTAATCTTCAGAATAATCTATGAGGCAGATGTACCATTATTTTACAGACGAGGAAACTGAAGCACAGCGAAGCAGCTTGCCCAAGACGAAAGAGTCTCAGTCTTCGCTTCTAGGATCCTAATAGTGTATGTTTTTAACATCCCTCAAATATAACGTTCTGTGCTTCCAACTTCGACATTCCTAAACTTCTTTGATTTCTAAGATTCTAGGATTGGAACGTTGAGAGGACAAACGTTCTGAGATTGGAACGTGTCTTCGGCCGAATATGGTTCTGAGTTTTTCTCTTTTAAGAAAACGAGACTCTCTGGGAGGCCAAGGCAAGGGGATCGCTTGAGGTCAGGAGTTAGAGACCAGCCTGAGCACGGGCGAGACCCAGTCCCTACAAAAAATAGAAAAATTAGCCGGGCGTGGTGGTGCTCACCTGTACTCCCAGCTACTCGGGAGGCTGAGAAAGGAGGATCGCTTGAGCCCAGGGGTTTGAGTTTGCTGTGAGCTATGAGGACGCCACTGCACTCTAGCCTGGGCAACAAAGCAAGACTCTATCTCGAAAAAAAAAAAAAAGATTTAAAAATAATCAGCTTGAACAAAGACCCGGAGCAGCCGGGAAAAGTGTTTTACTTAGGGTGAGAGTCTAGAATTTATAACCTCTGCCCCGCCCCCGCCACTAGGAATCTACAGATCCCTACAGACCGAAGGAGGGAGGAGCTAGTTATCCTTAACCAAGATGGCAGCCTCGTCGCTTCGCCACTCTACCGAGATGGATCCACAGGAAGTACGTCACGGGAGACGGCAGGAAGTCTGCGCGCGCACGCCCCAAACGGGATTTTTTTCTGGGGCACCGGCGGTTGAACTCTTCCTTTGGCAAGATGGCGGCAGGAAGCAGTGGCGGTGGTGGCAGGCCCTGCTCGAAAAGCAGTGCCGATTCTGGGTTCCTGGGACTGCGGCCCACTTCGGTGGACCCGGCGCTAAGACGGCGGCGGCGTGGCCCGAGAAATAAGAAGCGGGGCTGGCGGCGGCTCGCTCAGGAGCCGCTGGGGCTGGAGGTTGATCAGTTCCTGGAGGACGTGCGGCTGCAGGAGCGCACGAGCGGGTACGTGGGGCGGGACTTCCGGGATCTGGGCCACGTTCTGTGCGGCCAGGTGCGAGGTAGAGAGTGCTTGGGGCACGGGGGACTCCCCGGAGGCGGAGAGGCGCCTGTCCCCAGGTACCACGTGGAAGTCGACAGGATGGGCTGCGGACTCAGGGTGGGAAGCTGGGGAACTTGACATATCGAGGCACCAGATTTAGCAAAGCTGGGTGTGTTTCAAGTATTAAGTTTTGTAAACTGAGGGGCGAGGCTTTAGCCCAGAAGAGTCCCATGGCGGGAAGAGGGTGCTCGAGTGAGCATAGGAGGAAGGCTGGACCCCGTGGGGTTAAACCTGTACCCTCCCCAACATCTTTGGCTGACGTCTGCGCTTCCATCTCCCAGAGGCTTGGTGTCAGAGGCCCCCGATGAAAAACTCTTCTTCGTGGACACTGGCTCCAAGGAAAAAGGTGAGGAGGGGCTTTCGGGGCCTGCGGCCTCTGAGATCTGTGTTGATGACGTGGCTTGGAAGACAAATAACCTGCTGAAAGGTCAGCTTTGATGTAAACAAGAAGACCTTGAGTGGACAGAAAGCAACCTACAGACTAACTTTAAAAAGGCAGTTTTTTGGTTTTGTTTTTTTTTTTTTAAGGTCTCAGTGATCTCCATGCGCAGATAAGCCTGGTAGGGGTCTGTCTTGATGAGTGGGTTAGAAGTTAGGGGGTCTCCTGTTGGCCTACAGAAAAGCAAGTCAAGGACTTGTTTGAAGGAATCAGACCCGTTTTCATTAGTAAGAACAAGGGAGTCCTGCTTTAATGATCAGGTAAGAAACTAGTCTTAACCTGCTTGCTTTAATTTGCCAGAATTCGGGGTGAGGACCTGCTGAAACAGGTCGTGGAGCAAGTTAGGGATTACTGTGATGAGTAATAGGATTGACATCAATATTTACAAAAACAAACTAAGAATAGATGGTTTGCTGTAACGAGGGGACTGAAAACAAGCTGAGAGTCTGTTGAGCCTGTATGAGATGAGCGAAAGGGTCTGTTTTAATGAAGGTGGGAGGACCTGTTTCAGTGAGCAGAGTGAAAGGACCTCCTTTGAGGCATAGGAGACTTCGAGAGAGCAGGTAAAAAGAGGTAAATTAGAGAGTTCTGCTTTCACAGAAGTGAGGAACTTTGGAAAGGTCAGGGACCTGCCCCAGTGGACAGGTGGGGAAGTATTGATAGTTAAGGGCTTGCTTTGGCCGGTGGCAGATCTCTTTAGGGAGCAGAGGCGAGGCAGCTTGATGGGTTCAATTTTAGTAAGACAATGTGGGCAGAGAATAGTGATCGCGAGCCTTCGCAGCTGATCCCTGTGCTTCGTGCTTCCGAAGTAGTTACATTTTCACAACAGCCCGGTGAGGGAGGTATTAACGTCCTTAGTGTAGAGGCACAGAGAAGTGAAGTTTCTTAATTTCCCACCATACAAAGAAGGGCACAGTTCTGTCTTAGTATGTTTTGTTCTAGAGTTCTTGCTTTTAACTGTTAGCATTTAGAAGTAAAAAGCAAAGAACTCAAGCTATGCTGAGAATCGGCCATCCTGGGCTTCAGTGTCGCCTGACCACCCGTTCTCTTCCTTGTTCTGTGGCTGTTTCCCTGCTGTGTCAGGGAGCCCCTCATGTATGGGGCGGTGGGTGTGACTCTGTGTCCCCAGGACATGGGTGTGATGGAGGGTCCTGTGTCCCCAGGACATGGGTGTGATGGAGGGTCGGGGCTCAAGCACCTTTGGCCCCACCCTTGGGGACCTCTGCGCTCAGTTGGGAGCCTGGGGTCAGTCTGCACTGGGATGACTTGGGACGCAGATACCATGGCTCCAATGGTGCTGAAATTGGGGGGCAGGGGTGGTGGCAGTCCTTGGTAGTGGAGAAGCTTGAGGCCTTGACGACTCCTTTCTCCCACTCCTAGAGCTGAAAAAGAAGAGGACCAAATTCCAGAAGAAGTCGCTGCTTCTCAAGAAACCCCTTCGGGTCGACCTCATCCTTGAGAACACATCCAAGATCCCTGCCCCCAAAGAGTGAGCGTCCCAACACCTCCGTGCCCTTCTTTCCCACCAGACCCTGGTTCTGAAGGATTTCTGGGGGAGGGGGCGATCGATGAGGTTCATTTGGAGGGGAGGGTGGGGTCAGATTTGGGCTTTGGGGACTGGGGGGAGTGAGACCGGGTGCCAGGATGCTGGGGCCAAGGCAGGCAAGGATGGGCCTGGACCTGGCTGGGGGCTTTGGGGACAGAGGAGGGGATGGGTGGGAGCCATGTTTGGGAGGCACATCGGGCAGGGCCTAGAGACTCAGTGCCATGGGGGAGAGGGTGGACGGTGACAGGGAGACGGCCAGGCTGCCCCTGGGATGGGCGTAGGGGAGGAGGAGCGGGTTTTGGGGTGATGCTGAGGTTGGTTTTGACATGGTAGGTGTGACGTGCTTGGGGGATGCCCAAGACAAGGCTGCTGTTTGGTCAGTCTGGGACTCAGGAGAGAGGCCTGGGCTGGGGACAGACCTGGGGAGAGGGGGTCTCTGAAAGGGACAGCCTGAAGCCATGGTCTCTGAAGGCACAGCCTTCTGGGGAGGGGGTGCTGGGGAAGGAGCTGCCTGAGCCGTGGGTGTAGCCTGACCAGAAGGAGGCTCGGCTGCTTCTTGGGCTGTCACCTCACCCACCACACTGTGCCGCCTCCCCCGGCCAGCGTCCTCGCTCACCAGGTCCCCAACGCCAAGAAGCTCCGGCGGAAGCAGCAGCTATGGGAGAAACTGGCGAAGCAGGGCGAACTGCCCCGGGAGGTGCGCAGGGCCCAGGCCCGGCTTCTCAACCCTCCTGTGACCAAGGCCAAGCCTGCGCCCCAGGACACCGTCGAGCGGCCCTTCTACGACCTCTGGGCCCTGGATAGTGAGTGATCCTGCTGTTACCTGTGAACAGGGATAGGCCTGCCACGTACAGTTGTTTGTGTTGTGCAGCATACAAGAGCACGGTGTCTTAGGGGGTCCTTTGTAGGTATTGCCTTGACGATTTCCCAGCAGAGTCCAATGTCTCGAATTTGGTACCCTTTGCCCGTTTGTGCTTTCCTTTCCTGAGTCGTGGCAGCTCCCGCCCTCTGCCTTGGGTCTCCTCTCCTTTCCGAACCCTGTCGAGACACGGTTTTGCCTGGTGTTCAAGGCCCCTCAGGGGCTGAGAGTCAGTCAGTCCTTCCCTCTCCTGAGCTTTAGTCCCGCCTTTCTGAAATCCTGGGGGCGTGGAGGGCGGGGGCCCCGGCCCTCTCCCACACTGGGAAAGCCCCAGCAGCTGCCCTCCCCGTCTCCACAGACCCTCTGGACAGGCCGCTGGTGGGCCAGGACGAGTTTTTCTTGGAGCAGACCAAGAAGAAAGGAGTGAAGGTGAGACGCGCCGGGAGGGCGTCCTGGGTGGGGGCCTGTTCCTGCTTCTGTAAGATGCAGGTGAAACTGTGCTTAGCTCACGGGACGGTTGGGAACATTTTAAGGGGTGATGCGTGAAAAAGCTGCAGACAGTGCCTGGCATGCGGCAGGAGTGTCGTCTGGTTGAATCGTAGCCACCTTCATCCTGAGCTGCTAGAGCCCGAGTGTGAGAGCCCAGGTGCTTTAGAATCTCGGGGGTTCAGCTTCTTTCGTGAACAGGGTCTTCTCCCTGCCTGGCGCGAGGGTGCGGCAAGGAGTAAAGGGGCGGGGGGCGATCGGCTTGTCAGCAAGTTGGTTCTTTGACGGGGCAGGTCAGGGTGTGGTGGCCGGTCAGCCGGGCTGGACGTGCTTCAGTGAGGCCAGGGAAGCCGCAGCTGGAAAGAATACAGTACAGGGGTGGGGGTGGGGGTGGGGGTGGTTAGAGACCTGGCGGGGAGGCAGGGGAGCGCGTCACGCCCAAGGTGGGAGGGGCGCCTCCAGGTCGGGCACAGCAGGTGCAGAGGCTGTGGAGTGGAGCCGCACGTTCCCAGAACCTTCAGGAGGCCAGGGTGGTCAGGGAAGGAGGGCAGGCCTGGTGGCCGGGTTTATTCTGAGTGGGGCGAGGTGGGGCTGGGGAGCCAGCAGAGCGTTTTAGGTGGGAG